CCCTCCTTCGTTTGGCTTTTTTTTTTCAGGGAGATGATGGTTTAAAGGCCCAAACTCAAGCCTATGTACTGAAGTGCTAGAGACAATTCATACTGTATTTTGCATGTGTATGTACGTTTCACACAACAAAGACTACTTTTCTGCACCTGTGTGCACACTGCAAAATATGTACAGCACAGCTAGAAAATGTTTTCAAGCCAGTCTGAGTTGCCTAAGGTCTGCGTAACCAGAACATGCCAATTTCAGAGCCATTTAGGATTATGCAGAGCAGCCTGCAGTGAGGGATATTTCACACCAGGGCTAACATGCCCATGTAAATTACTTCTGATTGTGGGGGTGTGGGGGAGAGGAGTAAACAAAAAACTCCAGCCGAAATGGAGGATGTTGTGGAGAAATTCAAACCCTTGAGAGTCTATTCCCATGACTAGAGTAGATAGGATAAGCAGAACCTGTCTTTGTGTGGTTGAATGCTCTTTTATAATTCTCTTTATCCCAAGTTAGAGGTAATGGACTAAGGGAGTTTCCTGTGGCTCTGAGTAGATTAGAGTATCTATCTACAAATGGACATATTTCTGAATTCAGGCAACAACGCAGATGAGCTTGTGTTTAAAACCACGACGTAACTGAGGCTCGGGAGACAGGATCATGTAACAGAAACTTTGGCAGAATGGGATTCGATTTGAGGACAGTGTTCTGACTTACAATAATGTAGCAGCTGCCAGGAGCAAGCTAGGAGGATGACTCTGTACTTGGAAAGAGAGGAATGGGGTTGGTCCCTCCCCAGTTTCTCCACGCTATTTCAATGCAACATACATTCTGTACAGTGTGAATCAGACCATCTCCTTGATGTTCTGAGCACTTCGTCCTTGACTTTGGGGCTGTGTGCAAAGCTGTGCTGGTCACTTTCAGAGCTGCTGTGTCACTAGAAGCCTTTCAAATTACACCTCCCTGAGTTCTGGCTGTTTTCTGATGCACTGTCCTCTGGATGCCTTCTACCACAATCTCTGGTCACCAAGAGTTGAGTCAAGTCCCTCGGCCCTGCAACGTGAGCCGAGCCCCTCCCCACTTGTGAGCTGAACCCAGACCCTCCCACCACCATGAGCTGAGTCTGGTTCCCACCCCACACCCCGTGGGTGAACCCTCCTGCCTTAAGTTGCCCTCAGGTTCTATCACAGAGACACAAAACTAACTGGTACAGAGGGTTTCTATAGGAAAAAAAAAGTTGTCTGAGGACTATGCGAACACTTTGAAAACGAAAATCTAAATCATTGGGAGTTTTCTTCTGTGACCTGGGTCCCCTAATATAAGAAAGATACACAACACAAATTTGCCTTCCTAAGCCTTTCTGCAGCAGAGGAGATGTTGGGAGATGGTGGGCGTATGCCTCTTTCTTGCTTTACCTCGTTAGACGCCAGAGGAGCCCTCTGTGGTAAACTAGGCTATGCTCTGCCAAGTTAAGAGTTGTTTGCACAGTGGTACATGGTTTGTGAATCTCAGCATGTCCAAGAGCAGGACTTGATATAATGACGGCACGTCGGGTGAAACCCATCCTGGAAATCTAGCCATCGCTAGCTCACCGCACAGCCACTCAGTTCCCTAACACCAATATCTCGAAGACGCCAGAGGTCCCAAAGTGCAGGATGTACACTGTTCACCCTGAAGGTCTCTGTGCCACGGCTGTAAGGTGAAGTGTGGGCCAGCCTCCTTTACCCGGATGTGCCCTGCACAGCTGTAATCGAAGCCTTCAGATACCCCTGTGGTGTGAGGCGTGGACATTGGCTAAGGCAGGAGAAAGGAAGGCATCTTTTGAGCAAACTCTTTGCACTCCATGTGGCGAGGCAGAGTCATGCTGCCAGGATGACCCACCCAATGGGGTACACTTTTCTGTGTCTAACGCATGCTCTTCTTTGGGTACCCATCCACCACTCCCCTTTGCGCGAGACCTAATCAGGTATAGATCCTTCAGTTCCCACCAAGGTGCGACTTCCTCGGGAATATGTGTGAGTTGCAGAAGCAGAATTCATGTGGTTCAAGTAACCCCACCTAAGGTTACCACAGGAATCTTAAACGTCTACCCAAAGCTAGTTCAGTAAGTTAAGAAAACTGCCTAGGTGAGCAACTGGTATTGAACCAAAACTGAATGTTTCAAACTTACAACTGCTCTTTCACTGCAGAAACAACAAGGGAACCACTGAGGATTAAAATAAAAACGAAGCAGTCAAGGTGATGGGTTAGGTCTGATCATTCAAATCAGATAGAGCGTGGGACACAGCGTGGGATAATCTAGAACCTAGGTCTGCTCTTCTGCCCACAGCAGGAGGAGACCCCAAGTCCACACACCATGCAAGCTGGACACTTCCTCTCCACGTCTGAGAGAGTGGCCAGCCTGGAATGGCTCCCTGAAAACCACATGTGCTGGAATCTATAGCAAGCAGGGAATCCAGAGCAGAGCAAGCCACACCTGCAGTGCAGAGAGATGACTGGCCAGGATAATGAAAACCCTTTAAAATAAAATCCAAAGAAGCCAAGAAAACAAACTCAGAGAGTTGCTGGGGTTTTTGTTTTGTACAGTAAAGCAGAGAACATTTTTGTTCAAACACTGATCTAACCCACGTTAAGCTTAGCGCTTAAGAGCAATGCGCTTCTTCTGTGGAAGGGCATGAGCTGAGCAGAAAGCCTGACGGGGACAGGAGGCAGTGTGTGATATTTAATGTGGAGTAGGGCACAAGGGTACAGGCTTAATGCTGCAACCTGTACACTTGGAAAGGGTGACAAGACAGCCCACGTATTCAGAAAAAACAAAGGCTTGAACGACAGGCACTCTCTGGGTCTGAGCCAGTTGTATCCAGAAAACAGAGACCTACCGTCCTCGTCCTGGACCACAGCTTTGGATAGACCTAGTAAGAGCCTGTCCATTTACCATCGAGAAAAAAAATAAATAGAAAAGAAGAATGAGGTAGGGAAGGAGGGAGAAGTTTCAGCTTCCCCCAGGAGGCACTGGGAATCCTGAAGGGTTTAAGTTAAAGCATCCTTGGGCTTTTGCGTCCTGAAGTAAACCTGCCAACCTCATGGTAAAATCATCATGTTACCAGATAACCTTCACCTAACCCAGAACCCTTTCCAACACCAAATCAGACTCTGATCACTGGACCTCTCTCCTTAGTCATCTGCAGCATCCTTCAGGAGACCAGAGACACCTTGGGTGACCTGACAGACTCCAGGTCAATACCAGCCCTGGAGAACCCATCACTGTCTTTTGTAGCGAAATCTCTTACGGAAGGCAGGTTTCCTCCTGTGTGGTTGACGGGCTGATCTGCTAGACGGGGACAGTCTAACCTACACAGGTCTGCATAAGACAATACTTGAGTGTCCTCCTCCTCAAGTGTGTCTAGCATGCCTCTGCACTCATTATTAATTAAATTAGGTTGCATTCTGTGCAGACATTTAAGGTCAATGAGCAATGGCAGTAAGGTTTTTTAATCTGTGTGTGTGTGGGGGGGAGAGATCAATGTGTGCATTCCTATTATGAGCAACGGCAGTAAGTTGTTGTTGTTGTTGTTGTTGTTGGTGTGTGTGTGTGGTCAATGTGAGTGTACATTCCTATTCCATGGAGCAAGTATGGAGATCACAAGACAACTTACAGGAGTCTGTCCCCTCCTTCTATCATGTGGGTCCCAGAGACAGAACTCGGGTTATCAGCCTTAGCAGCGAGGTGTGTCGAAAATACTGCCCTCTGAGCCACCTCACTCGTGCCAGAATAAGGCACTAGTTCTTGAAGGAGAGAACTGAGTCTCCATATCTTTGTCTACCTGTTGCTTTTTATGTGTTTCAATGTTAGCCTGGGGGGGGGCGGATTCTGCAACTGGCCTAAGGTGTGAACAGTGACATCAGCATGTACAGTTTAGAAATGTACAGTTAGCCTTGGCTAACTGCCCTCCATTTTTGCCTTGCTGACTGCAGCTGTTCTGCGGACAAGGAGGCAGCCAGCCTCTGCTTCGTTCTAGAGAGAGTCATGCTGTGATTTCACTCACAAGTTAAAAAAAATGCTTTGCTGTGTGCCGTAACGGGTGTGTCAAAGTTGTTTAATTGTAAACTATTTAATTTAAAATATATGATTGATAATATTTCATCATGTCTAGGGAAATAAAAGGTGATGTGATTGGATGGGATATCAGAAAGGAAGATGGCATCACAGACAGATACCAAAACAGGAATGTATACAGGAGTCCATAGTATTAACTAATCACAGGGCTATCTATGTCTATGGCACTTTACTACCATATTGTGGTCACTTACTATTTTTTTTTCGTGCTAAGTTCAATAAGAAACTTACTGAATTAGTGAAGGGAGGGGCATCCGCTTAACGATCTAGGACACAAACATATATACCCTGCTTCGGAAGAGAGCGAGTTTTGTTAAGACTGAAGTGCACGTTGAAACTGCAATCTGAGCATTTCTTGGGCATCGGTCGCGTGCCCAGATTTTGTTTTGAGCAAGAGAAACATAAATATGCGTGATGCTAGAGATAAACATGTGAACCAGTGTTTTCAATGAAAGCCGATAGTGGGCCGGCAGAGTACTGTATACAGAACGCTGCACCCTCCCAAAAAAGTTAGGCAAGAATGCTTTGACATGTGAGGTAACAGACAGTCCTCCCGAGGGTCACTCGCACTCTCTGTGGGTCCTCCTTCAGTACGTACTGATCACAAAATTATTTTGCCTTTAGTTTGAGTGATTGTGGCTGTCTGGTCCAGGGTGATGTGCTCCATCTGTGGTTTACACACACCAGCGCAGTGTGTTTCACATCCAGTTTGCACTTTGTCCATGAGGAAAAGGGGGACTGACCCCTAGAGGTTAATCCAGATAAGCACCATGAGCCCTAACCCTTCCTGCCCCCAACACCAAGGCCACAACATCCACCGCCCTGTGGTTATTGTCAAGAATACCGGAATGTGGGGACTGTATTTGACAGATTCTTTTTTTCCCCGGTTCCTTTCCAGCTCCAAGCACAGCCCAATACGGCATCACCGGGAGCTCCTGCGACCTCTGCCCCTGCTGGAGCCTTGTGTCGGCGGCGGCACTGTCCTCGGTCATCAGTATGCTCTACCTGAAGAACGCTGTCCTACAATGAGTTTTAAAGACCCCGTGAAAGGCTCTCAAAGGAGTCTCTGAGAATGCCGATGGCTGGATCCAATCTTTGTGCCACTGGGTAGAAAGCCGCGCGTGGGATACAATCTGGCAGGCCCGCCCGTGCGAGGGTGACGCCGCCTGTGGAATCAATCGCTGGGCTGTGTAAATACTTTCATTCTCCTCTCCTTTTGATTAGACACACGACCTTGTGAAGCACTGCACATTGTCCTTTTTTTAAAGATGTGAGAGCTCTGAACTTACTTTTAGAGGATATTCATTGTGGTTTCATGTTTGTAATCTTCAAACTTTTCAGAAGCATCCAGTCGTGGTCTGCTAGGCTTCCGGCTGTAGTTTACATGACAAATATTGCAGTGAACACACGATTCTTTAAGGCTGCAATACAAGGGTTCAGTGCCCTGTTTCAGTAAGAGTCAACCCACATTTACAAAGACGCATTTTTTTCTTTTTGATAAAAAAAATCAAATACTATTGCCTTCAGATCATTTCCTCGAAATATAACACATATCTAGATGCCCCTGTTCGCATGACATCCAGGTTTTGGAAATGAGCCTTGTAATATAAACTCGCTGTGCTTCTCCTTCTAAGTTCAGCATGGGTGTGCCTTCACAAAATAATCTTCTCTTTGTCTCTGACAAATACATAATGTTTTCCTAAACCTCGCAAATTGGGAGCAAAAGTAAATTACACCGATAAGCTAAGCCTGAGAACTTTGCCCACAGCATCTCAGTTTTCTCGATGAAACAATTTAATACCATGGTTGAAGTTGAGGTTAAATGTTAGTGCCCCTGTGGGGAAGGCATGAGCTGTCAAAAGGACAGCTCAGCCTACATCAGTCTCCTGCACTCTTGCAAGCTGATGTCCTGAGACAGCTTCTCCACACGGGCCTGCAGCCCTGTCCCCTGATAGACGCTGAGGTGGTGAGTGTCCAGATTAATCTGGTTTTGACATCAGTAAGTTTGGTGTGACAGAAACCCTGGTTTTTTTTTCCCCCAACCTGGTTTTCCGTCGTTCGGTTGATAGGAATGCATGCTACTTTCTTTAAAACTCCAAAATACATTTTAACAAAGCTTGTGCATTGGTGCACAGCAGATCAGCCAGAAGCAACCAATTCTTCACCAAAAATCTTGGTAGTCATTTCCATTCAAACTGATGCCAAAACCGAAGATTCACCATGCTTCACCGCATCTTACGAGACACATGTGAGATGTGACCTAAGGGACACACCAGAAGGAGGGCATCATGGGATGTGTTAACCTCTAAAATGATTGTGAATATTACGTTTTTTTTTCTATTTAAAGAACAGAACTACATTTTTTTGAAGGAAAATGCTGTTAGTCTAACTATTATATTACAGGAATAGGTTCATGGTCTTGCTTTTGGCCAAAGAAAGACCAGAGCCTTGAAAGCCATTTTTCAGGTCTGATGAAGCTGCCAATTTCAGCACACCGAAGTTTCTACAGTGACCTTCCGCACACACTAACTAAAGACCTACTCTGAAAACCACATGTAAGAACTTTCACAGTGATTTTTTTTTAGATAGTTCATGTTTTACCCTAGAAGGATGGCTTTTGAAATTGTGATTTTTTTAACTAAATAAAATTTAGACCCAAAAGACACCATAAATCTATTTTAATTAGGAAAATGAATCATAAGTGAAGGGACATAAATACACAGTCTTCCCGTGAAATGGCAATAATGTGGCATCATGCTATTAAATTTAGCAGCTGTAATAAATTTATGTCATTTTTGACTGATCTATTAAAAGTAAGTTTTGAAAAATATGGCATTTAAATTTCTAGGTGATGTGCTACTAAAAGTGTTCTTTGTGGAATTAGTGAGCCAATGCCAAAATGTTTTCTTTGTATTGCAGCTTTAAAGTAACGCACTCCACAATAACCTACTTGTTAGAGATAGCGGTGCTATTACCATGGAGTGTGGGCCACCTGAACCACTGTTTTGGGGAGAGAAGAAGATGGAGAATGCGTATTATACAGTGACCGTTTCCCTAGAGTTACAGATGCCTCCTCCGTGTAAGGTGTGTAGGGTATATGTGAGGTAAACCGAGGTATAAAATACAGATGAACCAAATAATTAGTTCTAAGTGTCGTCATGATTCCGAATTCGTGGAGTCTGGTGTTTTTCCATAGAGTGTGACAAAGGACAGTCATAGCTCAGTAGCTACACGTATTTGCCTTTATGTTAGAAGAGACTTTCTTGAGTGGCATTTTAATAGAGGAGGCATCCACTATGTTTTTCTGTGTTACAGCAGCATAGTCCTTAGGCTCCTGGACAGAGTGAAATCATGAGTATTTATGAGTTCAGTATTGTTCAAATAAGGCTACAGTATTTGCTTTTCTGTGTGGATGTATTGCATATAACGTTCAAGTAGGCGGTTTTACATTTGCAGGCATCGGAAATGTCTGATGACTCCATTTTATCAGTCCTGACTGTACAAGATTGTTGCGATTTCGAACAGCAGTTTTATGAAGTTAATTTACCTTTTGATCTATACAATTTTTGTTAGCTATTCATTTCAGCATTATGTTTTCCACAATGCCCATTTGTGGGATTCCTTTTTTTGCCCCTAAATTTTCAAAGGAAGAAGAAGCTTGCGATTGAGAAAGGAGAAGGAGGAGAAGAAAAAGAAATAGGAGATAAGGAATAAAGGAAGAAGGAAAGGAGGTGACGAGAGGGGGTGAGAGAGAGCTGGAACCTTCCGCTGATGACCCTGTTGGTCTGCATTCTTGGTTTAACTGCTAATGGCCTGATTTTTTCCCCAATGACCTTATTCCAAACCTAAGTCCTGCTATGCCCTGAGGTCCTGCTGGGCAGAATCCATTTAATGATCAACACTGCCCAGGCCACAGTACTGGGTGCTTTGTGCAGACAGGGTCGAGAGAGAATTTCAAACATAAAGTCCGTTTGAGGTTCGTAACCTGACTGAAAAATTATCTTCTCACAGCATCTATGCTGTGTCTAGAAAGTAGATTGGAGAGCTGAGAAGTACCCAGATAATTCAGGACAAAACTGCACACATATAGAGAAGTACCCCAGTCTATGAAGTCTGAACACTCCGAGCAAATGAACTATCAAAATCAAATTACTGAATAATTGTTAATTTACCCATTGTGCTTAGCTTTGTAACACAGCTGAAAGTTATCTATTTAATCTTTTCAATAAAAATTGTTTTTTTTGAAATCCAGAAATGATTTTAAAAAAAGAGGTCAGGTTTCTAACTATTTATTGAAGTGTGTGGGTGTACAGTATTTCAATAGATATGAATATGGATAAATGGTATTGCCTTAAGATCCTCTGAAATGTACTTACTTTAAAGACTGGAAAACGCCCTTCCTGTCTTTAGCAAAACATCCATATTTCATAATCTGATGTAAAATATGTTGTACTGTTTCCAATAGGTGAATATAAAGTCAGTTTATCAATTAAAATATGTATTTGACTCGTTTTAAATTCTTTTAGTTTAAGAGAAGTGAACACCAGCATGGTGTGAGAACTTGGATACTATGGCTGTCAAGGTCTGAATACTGGATCTGTTATAATTCCCTAAAGGTCTGACAATATGCACAACATTTGTCAAAAAAACCCCACTTTTTGTAGGTATGTCATTCTTTAGAGCCTTTACTTGAAGTGACAAAGGTCTCTGGTAAAGTCTGGGGATAAAATCAGACAGTCAGGCAAATGCCTGGAGGAGCCCACCTGGTGTCTTAAGAGAGGTGGGTATAAAACAGCAGAAAGTGAGTAGTGAGTACACCCCTCAGAGCATCCACATGAAATTCCCTTTACACATGTTGCTTTCAAAAAAAAAACCTGGTCTGTGAATGCTACAATATGTACATGAGGCCATTTCACAACAGTGACTTAAGTCCTCTTGCCTAAGTTTGCCCATATGTGGTCACAACAAACTGAACTAGAATGTTGAGGCTGGAGAGATGCCAAGTAGTTAAACCATGTACTGCTCCTAAGGAGGATCCTGGTTTGATTCCCAACACCCAAGTGGATGTCTTACAACTAGAATCTGTAACTCGAATTTCAAAGGATCCAATACCCTCTTCTGCCTGCCTGGATATTCACATGCAGATACCAATTCACACACACACACACACACACACACAATCTATTAAAAATTAAAGATAAATTGGAAGTATATAAGTGGTCAAAAGAAACATCAAAGCATGGAAAAGACCCCTCTTGGTTTAATAGGCTGCTAAGAAATACGGGTATCACTGCAGTTCTTGGGAAACATAACTAAACTTTCCCTCCCACAAAAAGTGAAACCCACTGAATCTCTGAGTTTCCTCTACTTCATTTTCTTGCCCTAGGACATTTGTCATGAATTCAGTTACACAAAGGAAGCAGAATGCATGAACACCAAGCCTGGGATCAGAGCATGGAGAGTACGACAGGTCAGAACACCTAGGCTTCGATACCACCTGCACATAGCAGGGAATAAAAACTCGATTTCAGCTATCAAGAAGAAATACAGCCCAGGTTAGCGAAACGACACAGTTCTAAGAATAGTTCAGCTAAGATGCCCACGTCCTTCTGACCTTCCCCAGAAGTGTGTGTACACCTCCGTGCTCACAGACGCTTTACCAGATGACCCCAGACTTCAGAAAGTGTTTAGGAATCCATTCACTGGAAAGCAAACAAAAGGAGTCTGGAGACACAGCAAATAGCATCCTTACCACCCTCTGGCAGCACCAGCTGCTCCACTAACAAGAGACCCATCCTCCTCAGTGACAGGCCCACTGCCTGACACCCATCTTGTGTTCATGTTGAGATCTTCATTTCCCAGTAAGAGCCCTTGGAGACTCAGTAGTCTAGTCTAGGGAAGTCTGTTTTAACATCCCGCATGGTTGGGAACCAGCCCTGATCACAACTCTCTGCTCCCTCTTCCCCTTGACCTCGAACTTGAGGGAGGTACCGTCTTCCTGATTACCTGGTATTAACAACAGCCCCCCAGGGAAACCCCCATATTGTAAAGAGAAGCTTTTTCCTTGAGAAGCCTTCCCGCCAGCCTGGTTCTAGAGCCACATCAGTCCCAAATAAACATGCAGGAGGCTATATTAATTATGAAGCTGTTGGCCTTGCTTGTTTCTTACTGGCTAGCTCTAACTTAAGTATTTATCCCATAATTGTTAATCCAAGTATGTCTCTTACCGGAGAAGTTTCCGGGCTTCCTACTCCATGGCATTACATCTTGACTCCCTAATGTTTCTCCTTCCCAGAGTTCTCCTGGACTCCTAGTCCCACCTATCTAGATTCCCTATTGGCCAGACAATGCTTTATTGACAAATGCACAGGACTCCCCCAACACCATATAAACAACAACCCCTAGCCAAATCCCCACCCTGACGTTCAGTTTACACTTTATCTGGGTGCATTCTCCATATAAGCCAGAGAATCATGTAACATGTGTTCTGGAGCTAAGACCCCTCCCCCCTTTCTCTCTGAGACATCTCAGACAGCAGACTACAATTCCCAGCCATAAGATAAACCAGAAGAGCCTGGCAAGCTAGCTGGGATTCCTGTCAAGCTAGCTGTTGGAGAACCAGGCAACCGGGATTCCCATTTACCTACAAGTTTTTGGTGAGCTTTAAGTACACCCAAGGCGTATTGAAATGGACCGCGGTGCTTCATTTCTTATAAGGACACTCACCAGACATCAACACCTTGATTGTCACAATATTTAAAATACATCTAAGATAGAAAACACCATTATCGTTTTGTGTGGCTGGAGATAGACTGTCTGCTAAATGGAGTGTTGGAGCCACATGTGGATTGCAAACCTCTCCAGTGTGTGCAAACTTCTCAATAACCTCAGAATAGAAAAAGATACATCACCAACATGTAGATACAGATTCCTACTTATATACCCATATATGGATTTATTTGTGTATGCATCTATTGATTATAAGCTGTTCTTTCATTTCCAAAGCTCCCAGGAGATCTGAAACTTAAAGGCATCTAATAAGCAAAAAATTGACTTATCCTCAAAATATGAATGTGAAGGAAATCCCACAGATGTCGCTTTCATTTAGAAGTCTTGACAAAAAAAATGGTTTTATGCATGTGTGGAATGAGTGCATTAACTCCCTATTGAGGGAGATGGAGAAGCGTTACAGTACTATATCAGGACAGCCCAAAGGCACACACCTCCATAGTCAAACTTACTTACATTGGTATGCTTATGGCAGAAGAGAGACTAATGAATTCTAGTGACTCCTTCTCCTGGAGTGACTGCTTCTGCATACAACAGAAGTCTGCCATCTTTTATACAAAACTTGGAAGAATTCAAATGCTGAGAAATGTTCAGAGACCCCATAAATCACAGTTGGTTGAGCCGAGGTGGTGAGCCCTAAGTAACACAGGCACACTCACTGCAGCAAAATTTTTCCTAAAGTTATGAGATACAAGACATTTTAAAGCAGCTGGGCATGGTGGCGCATGCCTTTTCTCCTTGCACTGGGTAGGCAGAGGCAGGTGGATCTCTGTGAGTATAAAGCCAATGTCATCCACGTAGTGAGTCTCTAGCTCAAAAACCTTGTGAAAGCAGCTGAATTAAGTAAGTTGCCAAGCATTTGAGCTTTGAAAAATGTAATCTTTATCCCAGTAACTGATATTATCCATGTATCTGACATTCACAGTCTCCGTCTTCTAAGGACTCCTTGGTTTGTTTATCTCACGAACCACCACACAGTCTTCTGGGGGCACTGGGAAAGGAGTTTAAATGCCCCTTTCTGAATAGAGATAGAAAAGTGGATGGAGGGGTAGATGGAAGGAAGGGGCAGGGGAATGGGAGACGGAAAGGAAAGAGGAAAAAACTGTGGTCAGTACGTAAAATAAATGAAAAACATTTAGTTACTAAACACACACACACACAAACGTACTAGAAGTACTATATCACTTCATGAGCCTACTCTGTTTAAAAAGAGAAGATGGTAAGTTCATTCGGGTCCATTGATTGCATGCGGGGAACATTTGGTTCTTAATGAAGTAGGTATTTTACATCAGCAAGAACCATGGACTAACAGATAAGACGGCGTGACTTCTTCACCCACATTCCAGTGCAATGATGATAATAACATTGCCAGCCTCCTCTGTGGGAGCTGAAAGGCTCCTTGGCTGATGGGTCTGATGAGCCCACAAGTTCCAAGCTGGTGAGAGCCACAGAAGGACATGGGGTTCAGCTAGGTGCTTCCCTCCTTCCCTCCGAGGGGATTAATAAAAGAGTCAGAGAGTTACTTGGTGGAACTAGGAATCTGCTAGCTTCATTAATTTTGACTTTTTTGCATTCAGAATACTAACTTTACACTAACCAAGGCCGATTCATGCTCCCTGCAGCTCAGAATTGTCTTTAAACAAGTGCAGCAGGCCCAGTGAATTCCTAAGAGAGTGTAGGGATTTAACTTAGATAAAGAATGCATGAAATAATCCTTGAAAACTACCAGTAACAGGGTATAAGGGTAAAAACCAAGGGTTTCCTGGTTGTTCTAAAACAACCTAGCAAGGCCATAGAAACCCTGAATGGCTTTTGTAGGAGCTTCATTGATGTAGACAATGGTTGCCTAGAAACCCCACATCTCTCTGTGACACGGTTGACAAGTGACCTGGTCAAAAAAAAAAAAAAAAAAAAAGGAGAGTCAATCACTGGTTTTGAACAGTCTCCCTAAGAAATGATTGGTGAAGACTTGAAACTGTTTCATGCTGTATAATTCACACACACAAAATTCCACTGCCATAGGTGGTCTGGAAGACAAGCTTATAAGCAGGACATCTGGTATTCTGGTTAATTTCAAATAAACAAACAGAGGAATTTGCAACCATGCAAACCAGGATTTCTGTTTCCAGTTCCTTTGCTCAGATTTTAGCATGAGGAGCATCTTGTGACTTAACTAGTCAGGAGGCAGCACCTGCTCTCCGCACTAACATGGAAAATACCAGATTTCTTTAAGAATTTGGAATCAGATTTGTTTCTGGGAGTACATCTTCCCTGTTGGTGAGACACCTGGCTGACGTTTGGGATGTTTCAGTCAAATGCCTTGAAATGTTGTCAAGAAGGAAGACTGAGTTTGTGTCTTCATTACATTTTGAGTGGGGTCTTTTTTTTTTTCTTTCTGAAAATGTGTATGTCTAAGCTACAGGTGAAGCAGTGTGTGTGTTTTATCACAGTTCAGTTCTTGCAGTGTGGTAACAAAGCTTTCTGGTCTGCACATGACTGACACAAAGCCTCCTGTAACAGCTCTGTTGTCACGACGACAAACTCGTTCCCAGACCAGCAGCATCTCAGAAACACCCTGCCATGTACTGGAAATTCTTTTAAAAGTTAGGATGCGTGATGACTGTTCTTGGTCATCAACATGACTACGTATGGAATTAACTAAAACCCAAGCAGATAGGTATCCTTGTGAGGGATTTTTATAATTGA